CCCCAGCGGCATCACCAGCGCCAACAGCACCACCAGCTCCGACAGCGCCAACTCCCGTAAGATTTTCAGCACTAGCACTTTCAACAGCAAGGACGGCACCAGTACCCCCAGACGCACCAGCGCCCGTAGAAGCACCAGCACCAACTCCCCCCGCAGCTCCAGCTCGAGCAGCACCAGCACCGCCAGTAGCTCCAGCAGGACCAACCCTAGTAGCCCCAGCAGCACCCCTAGTCTCGGCAGCACGTCTCGAGCAGCGGGCAAACCACTCGCGTAGCTTCTGTGGAGAGAGCGGCTCCCGTCTCCACGAAGCACCGCCGGCGGCCACACGAACAGACCCAGCGCCCCCAGGCTCCGCACCCCCAGGCTCAGCACCCCCACGCTCAGCACCCCCACGCTCAGCACCCCCATACTCAACACCCCCAGGCTCAGCACCCCCAATCTCAGCACCCCCAGACTGAGCACCCCCAGACCCGGCACCCGCAGGCTCAGCACCTCTAGCAGCACCAGAGTCAATAGCTACATCGACAGGCTCGACGGCGTCTACCTGGGACACACCTGACGGGGCAGGGCCCTGAGGGGGGAGGGGGTCTACCTAAGAGGACCTGGCGCAAGGAAGAGCGGCGGCGGGGGGAGGGGCGCAGTGCGGTAGGGGAAGAGATGGTAGTAAGGCACCGACTCGTCAAAGGTGACGTCCTGGGAGGACAGAACACGGCGCGGGGTGGGGTGGTAAAACTGTCAACCAGGTGCATCAGGGGGGAAGCCAAGGAAGACGCAGGGAACAGTACGGGGGGACAGCTTGTCCGCAAACAAGTCGCGGACAAACACCCGAGATCCCCAGACCCGAAACGCAGACGCATCGCCAACCTTCCCGGTCCACCGCAAGGCGGGGGAGGTCTCTTGCAAGGAGACCCGGGGCTGAAGGTTGATCTAATGCGCTGCGTACTGAACCGCAAACGGCCGCAGAAAATGGGGGGCAGCCGCATGCATCATGGACGTATGAGCGACGTCCATGACCATGCCAATGCGGCGCTCAGCAATCCCATTTTGCTGTGGAGAGGCCGGAAGCGTGAAGGTTTAGCGGATGCCCTATGCACGACAGAAGGCTCCCAAACGGGCAGAGGAAAACTCTCCGCCTCTGTCCGAGTGCAGACGCAGAACAGGAAAGTCCGAGAAGAAACTCTCTCTGAGCTGGAGACAAGTTGCGCGGATCCAGTCGATCAACACCTCAGTGACGTCACCCTTGCTGCGCAAGGGGAAGACTGTGGTGTAAAGAGAGAAGTCCTCAACCACCAGCAGGAAGTACCGCTCGCGCCCCTGCCCACTGACGCGACCTGGGCCCCACACGTCCATGTGGAGAGTCTGCAGCAGAGCCTCTGTCGGAGGAAATTCGGAGGAGTGAGGGGCGGCCCGCTGTCACCCCTCGACGCAGGGGACGCAGGTAGGGCCAGGCCCCGGAGGAAGGGGAGGGAGAGACTGAGGGAGACCAGAGACAAGGACACGGGAGGCCATGCCTCGGAGATGAGGCAAGGGAGGGTGACCAAGGCGGTGGTGCCAAAGGAGAGTATGGTGGGACAGCAGACGACACGAGCCGGGAGCAGACTCAGGACCAGACCTGGACGCCGCAGCAAACACGTGACTCAAGGCAGCTACCTGGGCAGACTCAGCAGCCGGAGGGGACTCAGTAGTAAGGGTATACAGGCTCGACCCTGGCCGACGGGTGAGCGTGGCCAAGTGTCGGCCTGCCCGAGCACACGTGTAGTGGGTCACTCGCTGACTCGTAGGAGTGAACTGGTCAACCCCCCTATCCTGTAGGTCTGCTCCACTCACCAAGTTCGTAGAGAACGAGGGGAGGTAGAGACCTGACCCGGTGCCAGAGGGGGCTGCCGGGCACGGTAAGACAGTGGAGAAGCTAGCAAGGACAGGACCCTCAGAGGGGTCTGCCAGGGAGACTGCAACCGGCTGACTGAGCGGCGTAAGAGTGGTGCGGTCTTGAAAGAAGGAGCGGGACGCACGTCAAGGGTGCAGGTGTGGAAGGCTTGAGCCGATGTAGTACCTGAGAGAGCAGACTCACCAGCACCTGGGGCAGCAGACGCACTGGCACCTGGGGCAGCAGACGCACTGGCACCTGGGGCAGCAGACGCACTGGTACCTGGGGCAGCAGACGCACTACCACCTAGAGCAGCAGCCTCACCAGCACCTAGAGCAGTGGCCTCAATGCCCGGGTCAGGCGGTACACACAGGTAACAGTCACCCTCAAGACTAGTAGTCACAGAATACATGGCAGCAAGGATAGCATCATAGTCAAGATCAATGACGGCAACCCCCGCCCTAGATAGATCTCCCCAGCGAGGGATCTCTGACGCCTCAAGAATCTGGGGACGCCACGCGTCCGTTAGGCGACCGAAGCAGCGCTAGGTGGAGTGCGGGCCTCCGCACTGCTCACCAGCTCGGTCGCCGGTACGGAGGACGTAAGTGCAGGGACCAAAACCCCCACCGCGCTGACGCGCAGTGTACCACTCACGAAGCTGCTGCTGGCGCGGACCACCACCTGAGCCACTCCTCTGCGCAGAGTCGCGACCCGCTCCACCACCGCCGCCGTCACCGCTGCGTCCGCCGCCTCCTCCACCTCCGCCTCCTCCGCCACCTCCGCCTCCTTCACTCCCTCCGCCACCACCATCGCCTCCGCCGCCTCCACTGCTGCCGCCGCCGCAGCTACCCTCGGCACCACTCCCACCACCACCCCCACTCCCTCCACTGCCTCCACCACCACCTCCACCGCCTGCTCCAGCCCCTCCAGCGCCCTTGCCCTCCTTGCCCTTGCCGGTGCGGCGTTTCCCGCTTGGGGCAGACGCAGCGCCGACCGACTCGAAACCAACGAGGTCGGCCGCAGCAGTAGAGGCAACAGATGGCAAGAGGGGGGAGGGAGAACACCCCTCATAGACGGGGGTGCAAGGGTCACCACGAGAGGCTCCTACAGCGACTATGCTTTTCTCTACCGCTAGGAGGGCCTTCTTGAGGAGGTCAACGGTGAGAGTGGAGGGGCAAACTGAGAGGAAGTGGTCCGTGACTACGCGGAGAGAGTCAGGGAGCCAGGTGACTATGTAGTAGAGGGTGATGTACATTCGGGGGGGGTTCTTGGCGTAGAACTCAGCAGGAAGCGCAGCGCGGTAGCGGGTGTCACTAGTGCGAAGGTGCGTAATGAGGTCAACGACTTTGGGAAAGGCAGCAAGGTCAGGGAAGAGGTACGGTAGCATGAGGCGGCTCAGTGCAGCAGTGGTAGGGGAAGAGTAGCGTGCAACTACAGCGTCGTACAAGGTCTGAGCACTCTTGTACCGGCTAAAGTGTGCACGCTCAGTGGTGGGTAAGTGGCGGCGCACAGCAAGGCGAGCAGCAGCATTGCGCGTGGCCCACTGTGAGCGAACAGTGGTGTCAGCATCAGTAGCAGGGGCAGGAGAGGCACCAATAGTGAGGTCAAAGAGGGAGAGACCGTCTGCCCTATCGCACTGTAGGAAAAGCTGCAGATCATCTACCCAGACCTCAAAATCCACTGCCCGACCCTCAGCGTCAAAGGTGAGAACACAAGGGGAGACCATGATAGCAGTAGACAGGTAGTGAGTATAGTGGGGCAGGGCAGTGCAGTGGCAGAGACGCTGCTCTTACCAGGCAAGTGGGGTAGTCCCAGGCAGGCCGACGGGCGGCAGCGCCTGTTAGAATCCCTCTTCTCTTGTAACCTGCATATATGCTATAGGTTAGGCTAGAGTTAAGCACCCAAACTCAGTTTGGGTGTACAAACAAGGGTAACCCAGTTTGTAGGTTGGAACCCAACCTTGGTCCAATTATTGGACCCCAAAAGGTTGGGTTGGGTAGAATTATTGGCCCCCTCCAGTAATGTTGGCCCAACCCCAACTTGGCCAACATTATTGGACCCCACCAATAATCTCCCAACCCAACCTCTTGGTTGGGGTCAAATAATGGCACCTTAGGCCAGCATACAACCCCATTACTATGTATACCCCCCTTGTTTCTCCATCACACTATCAACCTCATTTCAACCTCTCTTTTTCACATGGTATAGAGCTGTCATTCCTAGGCCTACTCCTCTCTCAAGCCCACCCGGCCTCCTCCCTCATTTTTTTTTTCCCCTCTCGGCCATCCCGCCGCCTTCCTCCCCCCTGTAGCGCCCTTTTTCCTCCGCAGCTCCACGGCCTCCCAAACCGCTGCAGCCCGCGCCACTCTCTTTCGCGGCCTCGACAACACCTCCGCGCCAGCGCCACCGCGGCCTCGCCAGCCGTTGCTGCCCGCGCCCTTCCCCTCCGCGATCTCGACGCCGCCTCCGCGCCTCGCCGCGGCCTCGCCAGCCGCCGCCCGCGCCACCCCGCGGCCTCGATGCCGCCTCCGCGCCAGCGCCGCCGCGGCCTCGCCAGCCGCCGCCGCCCGCGCCCTTCCCCTCCGCGTTCTCGACGCCGCCTCCACGCCTCGCCGCGGCCTCGCCAGCCGCCGCCCGCGCCACTCCGCGGCCTCGACGCCGCCTCCGCGCCAGCGCCGCCGCGGCCTCGCCAGCCGCCGCCGCCCGCGCCCTTCCCCTCCGCGGCCTCGACGCCGCCTCCGCGCCTCGCCGCGGCCTCGCCAGCCGCCGCCCGCGCCACTCCGCGGCCTCGACGCCGCCTCCGCGCCAGCGCCGCCGCGGCCTCGCCAGCCGCCGCCGCCCGCGCCCTTCCCCTCCGCGGCCACGACCCCGCCTCCGCGCCTCGCCGCGGCCTCGCCAGCCGCCGCCCGCGCCACTCCACGGCCTCTCCGCCGCCTCCGCGCCAGCGCCGCCGCGACCTCGCCAGCCGTCGCTGCCAGCGCCCTCCCCCTCCGCGGCCTCGACGCCGCCTCCGCGCCAGCGCCCCGCGGCCTCAACAGCCGCTGCCGCCCGCGCCCTTACTCTACGCGGACTCGTCGCCGCCTCTCCTCACGCCCCTCCGGGACCACTGCGGGTCCACCCGCGGCCGTCCATCATGGCTCACGCCACACCCTCCCCCCTCCCTCCCCCTATTGATACCTCCTCTATCGATAAACTGCAGCTCGCCGCGGACAAATCCGCCGTCAACTGGCACTCCTTCATCGGCAGCATTCGTCGAGTTCTCTCCGATGCATGGGTTCCCCCCTACCGCGTCCTTGACGTCATCCTCCGCCGTCCCCATGCTCTCTCCCCCACCGCTCCTGACCACCCCGGCGAGACCCCTCCTCTCCCTCCCTCTCCTGGCGATCCTCCTCGTGAACCCGACCTCCAACTCACCGTCGACCAAGCCACCGCTGATGCAGACTTCATCTTACGACGCCGTGCCTACCTTATCCGCAAAGCTGAGTACGATGCAGCAGTTGAAGCCTATGACCAGGCAGTTGTTGGCCGCAATGCTCATCTTGCCGTCGTCGCCAAATACAACCACGACTTGGCTACCTTTACCCCAAACCTCATCGCCTGGACAGCTGCTGACACCCGCGCCTGCACCGTTCTCCTCGGTGCTCTCCCTGACTCCCTTATGCGCCGCTTCCAGGCTCGGGAACTCCGTGCCTCGGTCATTTGGGCCGAACTCCATGCCATGTTCGAACGCCGCGACATCAGCTCAGTTGGCATCCTCTTTCAAGAGTACTTTTCAATCACCCTCGCTACATGTGACGGAGCGGTCGACTATGTCGGACGTATGCGAGAAGTAGCTGATCGCCTCGAAGCCCGCCAGGCTGGCCTCTCCGAACCCCTCCAAATCCATCGCCTCCTGTTTAACCTCACCCCAGACTATGAATCACGCCTTCACGCCTTTACCGAAGCCAATCCCATGGCCGATCTCGCCTCCGTTGAGCAGTGGATCATAGACACCGAAGTCAAACTCCGCACCCCCATTGTCAACCTCGCCTCCTCCCAACCCTCCTCCTCCTCCCTCAACGCCACCCAGCCCCGCAAGCAAGCTCGGAACAACGGCAAAGGGGGAGGTGGGGCCAAGGGAGGTGGCGGTCAGGGCAACGGCAGCACAAACAGCCGTGGCAGCACCACTGGGGATGAGCATGGCACCACTAATTCGGGCGGAGCCTCTGCAGGCCGCGGAAGTCGTCCTGGCACTCTTCCGCCCCGCACCTATCTCCGTCGCTATGGTCCCCGGGCTGGAACACCCTGCGGGCAGACAAACCATCCCCCTAGCACTTGCTTCAAGGCTCTCGATGATGCTTGGTACGCGCGGGGAAATGTTGGCACTCCTCCCAAGTGGGGAACGATCTCCCCACGTCCCTCCCTTGCCGACATCCAAACCAACCCCGCTTACCTCCCTGCCCACCTCCGCCTCCTTGCTCCCCCCACACCGCTCCTCAATCTCCAACAGCAGCACCTCCTGCAGCTGTTTCATCAGCAGCCACAGCAGCAGCAGCAGCCGCAGCCCCAGCCGCACCCATGGGGAACTGGACTCCTACCCCAGTGGGGACCCAGCCCTCCTCCTTGGCAGCAGCAGCAGCTGAATTTTGGCACAGCTGCCATAGCCGCTCAAGCCTCACCGTTCCCCCTTTGGGGTGCTCCACCCCCCAGTAGCACTGCCCCTCCTCTTACTCAGGAGAGCTTTCTTTGCAACATTGCTATCTCACCCTCACTTCCTTCCATGTACCCATCCACCGTTAATGAAACTACTTTCCAGTACTCCGTCTCTTCCTCCTCCTCACCCACTCTCGACTTTGTCCTCGATAGTGGGGCCACTGAGACCGCTCTCAAGGATGCTGGTACACTCACACCCCTCTCTCCTCCCACGCAAGTTCACGGCGCTGACAGCAGCTTTACCATCCCATGCACACACCTCTCCACTCTCCCCTGCACACTCTTCCCCTCTGGTAAGGTAACTGGTCTCCACATCCCCACCCTCCGAAACAACCTCCTCTCCCACCGTGAAATCCAAACTGCAGGTATCACTGCCGTCTATCCAGGTAATGCCACCTAATGTGACCTCTACCACACCGCCACTGGTCGCTTCCTTCTACGCATTCCCCTCTGCCCCCGCACTCGCCTCTACACTCTCCGCACCCCTTGGCCATCCTTCTGCCATGTCACCACTCGTAATGGCACTTCCACTAACCCTCCCCATCCCCCTACCTCACCTCCACGCCACCAGCAGGGGCCGCAGCAACAGTAGCAGTAGCAGCCGCCACAGCTGGGGCAGCCACAGCTACAGCAACAGCAGCCGCCGCAGAGGCAGCAGCAGGGGCCGCCGCAGCAGCAGCAGCAGCCACTGCAGCAGGGGCCGCAGCAACAGCACCAGCAGCCTCCGCCGCAGAGGCAGCAGCAGGGGCCGCAGCAGCAGCAGCAGCCGCAGCCGCAACAGCAGCAGCAGCAGTCTCCTCCCCCTCTCTCACTCACTCCAACCCCCTCCACCTCCGATCATCTCTCCCACCCCGCTGTGTTGCTCCACCACCGTCTCGGCCACCCCAGTTTCGCCGCTCTCCGCACTACCATCACCTCTCGCCTCCTTCATGGCCTCCCTCCTACTCTCCCCCCCCTCCCTTCCTCTCCAGCCCCTCCATGCCCCTCGTGCATCCACGGCAAACTCAAACAGTCCCCCCACCACAGCCACCCATCCTTTACTCCAGCTCCAATTGACCTCGTCCATATGGACCTCTGGGGACCCTCCCCCACTCGTTCTCGTCAGGGCCATCGCTACATGCTGGTCCTCGTAGACGACCACAGCCGCTACTCCTCCATTTTCCTCCTCCACACGAAAGACCAGGCACCGACCATGATCGTCAACTGGGCCGAGCAATGCCGCGCCCACTTCAAGCGTCCCATCGGCCGCCTACACTCTGACGAGGGAGGCGAATTCCTCAATCGCACTCTCTCCCATTACTGCACCACCCATGGCATCCAACAGACTCACACCCTCCCCCACTCCCCGTAGCAGAATGGCGTCGCAGAAAGCCGGATTCGCGAAATCACCAAGATCGCCCGCTGTCTCCTCGCTCACGCCTCAACCCCCCCTTCCCTCTGGGGCTATGCTTTGCTCCATGCTGCCCTCCTCCTCAACCTTCACTCCCATCCCCAACATACCACCACCACCCCCACGGAGCTTTGGTCGGGCACCAAACCTGACGCCGCTGGTCTCCGTGTCTGGGGTTGCAAGGCATATGTCCTTATCCCTCCACCCAATCGCACCCACGGCAAGCTCGCTTCTCGTGCCCTTGAGTGTGTCTACCTCGGGCACAACCGCGACTCGCCTGGCTACCTCTTCCTTCACCCTCCCTCTGGATGCCTTATCCGCAGCATTGACGTCGTCTTTGACAAAACCACCCCCTATTACTCCTCTTCACCACCAGACCCCCTCCCTCCTCCTTCACGTCCTCTCACCTGGACCGACACTGTGCTCCCTCCCCTCCTCCCTCCTGCACCCCTTCTCCCACCTCTCCCTACTCCGCTTCCGCCACCCTCATCTGCCGACATCTACGATCCCACTGCTCCCGCATCCCCTGCACACTCCGCAGCCCCTCCCTCCCTCCTCTCCCCCCCCCTCTCCTTCTCCTCCGTCCCAGCAGCACGGGCAGCAGCCGCAGCAGCAGCAGCATGGGCAGCAGTAGCCGCCGCAGCAGCAGCAGCCGCCGCAGCAGCACCAGCAGCAGCAGCAGGGGCAGCAGCAGCAGCAGCAGGGGCAGCAGCATTGGGAGGAGCAGCAGCCGCAGCAGCAGCAGGGGTTCCAGCAGCACCAGGAGCAGCAACGGCAGAGGGCAATTGCCCGCTCCTCACCCTTCCTCCTCCCTCGCATGCACATCCGCTCCCTCGATCCCATCCTTGGCACACCGCCGCCTCCCTCCCTCAACCAGCTCGAGGATTCCCATGAGGAGTTCACCATGGTCCAGCGCCACACTCCCTCTCTCACCACGCTCTACCCTGGCCTCCTCGGCGCTTTAATCCTTAGCGCGATCTCCGCTCCCACCATCTTCGTCCCCTCCACCTTCCAGGAGGCTATCACCTGCCCTGACGCTGACAAGTGGATAGCCGCCATCTTCATGGAATGTGAGGCATTTATCTGCAACGACTCCTTCATCGACGTTCCCCTCCCCCCTGACGCCAACCTTGTCGAGGGCAAGTGGATCTTTCGAGTCAAGCAGCTGCCGGGAGAAGAACCGGTCTACAAAGCCCGCTACGTTGCCAAGGGGTTTACTCAGACCTGGGCTGAAGACTTCTGGTTCACATTTGCCCCCACTGTCAAGGAGGCCACCCTACGCACCCTCATGGATATTGGTGCGCGTGACGACATGGAGATTGACTCCATGGACGTCTCCAACGCGTTCCTGCAAGGCGAATTGCACGAGCGCATCTTCCTCCGTCGGCCTCCCGGGTTTCATGCTGCTTTCCCTGACAACACCGTTTGGCAACTTCGGTGACCTGTTTATGGCCTGAAGCAGGCACCACGAGAATGGCATGCGAAGCTGTCTGCCACTCTCCAGTCCCTTGGTTTCTCCGCCTCCCACTCCGATGCCAGCCTCTTCATCCGCTCTTCCCCCTGTCGCTTCTTCATCTCGGTCTACGTTGACGACATGATCCTGCTCGCTGACACCAAGGCCGACATGGAGCACGTCAAGCGGTCACTTCAGGAACGTCTCAAATGCAAGGACCTTGGTCCGCTGCAGAACTACCTCGGCATGGCTATCACTCGTGATCGATCCGCCCGCACCATCACCCTCTCCCAGTCCCACTACATCAGCCAGGTCCTGGAGAAGTTCGAGATGGCGTAGGCCAAACCGGTCTCCACCCCCCTCCCCTTCGGTCACCAACTCTCGCCACCCACCTCCCCCTCCCCCTCCTCCCGGCCCTATGCCGAGCTTGTTGGGTCGCTGATGTACGAGATGATGTGCACTCGTCCCGACCTCGCCTACCCCATCAGCGTCCTTGCTCGGTTCGTCGGCTTCGGCCGCCACACTGAAGAACACTGGGCTGCCGCCAAGCGGGTCCTCCGCTATCTCCGTGGCACCAAGGATCACGCCCTCACCCTGGGTGGATCCTCCCCTCCCCTTCTCTCTGGTTTCAGCGACTCATCTTGGGCAGACTCCCAGCCGGACCGCCGCTCCTCGCAAGGCTATGGCTTCACACTCGGCAGCGGGCTTATCAGCTGGCGTTCTACTCGCTCCTCTGCCATTGCCCTCTCCTCCTGCGAAGCTGAACTCTATGCTGGCACCATGGCCGCGCAAGAGTCCCGCTGGCTCTGCTTTCTTCTGGCAGAGCTTGGAGCACCCCAACGCTGTCCTACGCTCTGGTGCGACAACGCTAGCACCATCCATCTCACCCAGGACCCCGTCTTCCATGGTCGCTCCAAGCACATTGAGCTCCGCTATTTCTTCATCCGTGACCTTGTCCACCAGAACCTCATTGCCATTCGCAAGATCGCTGCTGCAGCCAATTTGGCTGATATCTTTACCAAAGCCCTTCTTCGCCCTGCGCACTCTGCTCTTCTCCGCCTCATCGGCCTCACTCCCCCAGGCGCGCCTTGATTCAGGGGTTGCTTCCCTCAAGCCTTTTCGCATCTCTGCCGGTTAAGGGGTTGTGTTAGAATCCCTCTTCTCTTGTAACCTGCATATATGCTATAGGTTAGGCTAGAGTTAAGCACCCAAACTCAGTTTGGGTGTACAAACAGGGGTAACCCAGTTTGTAGGTTGGAACCCAACCTTGGTCCAATTAGTGGACCCCAAAAGGTTGGGTTGGGTAGAATTATTGGCCCCCTCCAATAATGTTGGCCCAACCCCAACTTGGCCAACATTATTGGACCCCACCAATAATCTCCCAACCCAACCTCTTGGTTGGGGTCCAATAATGGCACCTTAGGCCAGCATACAACCCCATTACTACGTATACCCCCCTTGTTTCTCCATCACACTATCAACCTCATTTCAACCTCTCTTTTTCACAGCGCCTGGACTGCGATGCGGCTCGGCGGCTCGGCGGCTCGGCTGCAGGGCGGCTCGGCGGTCGGGCGGCTCGGCTGCTCGGCGGCTCGGCTGCTGGGCGGCTCGGCGGTCGGGCGGCTCGGCTGTAGGGCGGCTCGGCGGTCGGGCGGCTTGGCTGCTCGGCGGCTCGACTGTCGGGCGGCTCGGCTGCTCGGGGGCTGGGCTGCTCGGCGGTTTGGCTGCTTGGCGGCTGGGCTGCTCGGCGGCTCGGGCGCTGGGCGGCTGAGCGGCGACGGGGCCGTGGAAGGGCGGCGACGGGGCCGCTGAAAGGGCAGCAACAGGCCGCTGAAAGGGGGGCGACGGGCCGCGAAGGGGCGGCGACTGGGCCACGGAAGGGGTGGGCGACGGGGCCGCTGCAGGGCGGCAACGGCGCCGCTGAAGGGCGGGCGACGGGGCCGCTGAAAGGGCGGGCGGCGACGGGGCCGCTGAAAGGGCGGCGACGGAGCCGCTGTAGGGCGGCGACGGCGCCGCTGAAGGGCGGGCGACGGGGCCGCTGAAAGGGTGGGCGGCAACGGGGCCGCTGAAAGGGCGGCAAAGGGGCCGCTGAAAGGGCGGCGACGGGGCCGCTGGAGGTGGGCAACGGGGCCGCGGGAGGGCGGTGTCGGGGCCGCGGAAGGGCGGCGAGGAGGCCGCTGTAAGGGCGGGCGGCGAGGCCGTGGAAGGGCGGAGACGGGGCCGTGGAAGGGCGGCGACAGGGTTGCTGAAAGGGCGGCGCCGGGGCCGATGAAAGGGCGGCGACGGGGCCGCAGGAAGGGGCGGCGACGGGGCCGTTGAAAGGGCGGCGCGACCGGGCCGCAAGGGCGGCGCGACGGGGCCGCAAGGGCGGCGCGACGGAGCCGCAAGGGCGGCGCGACGGGGCCGTTAGGGGCCGGAGAAGGGGCCGCTAGAGGCCGCTAGAGGGGGAACGACACGTGGCGCGACTCGAGCAGGGGCCAAGCGCGCTCCGGGTAGGAAAAAAAAGATCGGTGGGCCCTAGGAACAGTTCCCACGAGAGAACCAGCTCTATACCATGTGAAAGTTAGAACGAGAGAATGGTTGAACTATGAAAGAGTTGGGTACAAGTACTAACCCTAATTGGGTTGTACCCCTTATGGGCTACCCCACTACAGCCTACACAAATGTATAAGCTATAATTTTCTGACACGACACCGTCACTGCGCTGGCACCGTACTGCGCCGGCACCGGGCGTAGGTTTATGTGACGTCCCCGGCCTAGGCCCTTGCACAGCACCACCATAGTCAACGGGTCCCGTACAGTAGCGCCGGCACAAAAAACAAACTGTTGAGAGCATACGGCGGGCGCCAACGTCGCTACGTGGGCAGCAGAACGTAACGTTCGTCGTTTGCGGGCAAGGGACGTTGGCAGGGCACCCCCATGGCTGCCCCGCTTTATCACCTTAGAGCCAGGGCACCCCTTTGGGTTGACATTCGCTGCTGCTCTTGATCTAACCTGGCCGCTCCCTCCAGGGGAAGGCTCCGCTTCGAGGCGCTACACGGCCGTGGGTTGCGTGAGAGCAGTGAGTGCCCCATTTCTCAGCATAAATCCGTTCCTTTCACAGCTAGTACCATCACTTCACCTTGGGACCGTGAGTTGGTTCAACACACGCCACTCCTGCAGATCCACTCTTCGTTTCTCCGCGTCCCTATCGCTACTCTCGCTCACCCTCACGCTCCCACGCTCCCTCAGTGCTTTCAACACCCGCGAGAATGGCTTACTCTCGGACGGCCGTCCTGGTTGCGTTGCTGCTGCACGCGGCGTGCCTCTCATCGCCGCATCGCCTCATTGCGGGCCACGTGTGGCCTCTCAGAGAAGAAGCCTCCCGCCGCGAGATGGCCGTCAAGGCGCCTCGTGAGTGTTGTACCCAGTCGTCCAAGGGACTGCAGTCGTCCGACTTATTTGACTCACCCATTCCCATTCAATCCCAAACTGTTTCGAGAATTTGATTACCCCATGCCGCCCCTAGTACTAGTCCACCCATCCGTGCCTCTCCCCATCGCCCCGCCCCTCCTCCCGCCAGCCACATGTCCCGCTGGCGTGGTGTGCCCGACGGGAGCATACTGCGTGGTGGACAGCCGCGGCCTCCCATTCTGCAAGTGCCTGAGCGGGGAGGGCATCATCAACAACGGCGCGTGCATCGGTGGAATGAGCTGGAAGATGGTCGGCACGAGCGTCGTGCTCTACAACGGCCCCTCCTTCACCAACTTGCCCGCCATGCTCGCACCCGCCGTGCTGCGCTCGCCAGCACTCAACTCGCCGGTGTGTCGGGTGGTGCCGAAGGGGTTCAACGGCACGGTGGGGTCGCTGCGCATTATGTGGAGCGTGGATGACAGCGCCAAGGACCACCTTGTGTGCGGCAAGCTCGTCTTCTGGGACAAGCCCGACTACTCTGGGTCGGCATCGGTGTTTGAGATTCATGGCAAGTGGACTGCAACCAAGGCCGACAAGTTCAACTACGCCACCACCAGCGTCAAGTGAGTGGCCGTGCTGCAGCACCGCTGCATTGACCGTGGCTCTGCTTGTGTTTTACCTGCACTAATCGTAACTCACTCTGCGTGTGTTGTGTTGCCTGGTGGCATGGAGTGCAGGAAGGCAGCGGGCGTGGTGGCGACGGGCAGGTCCTTCTCGTGTCTGGCGGCCGTGAAGCCGCCTGTCACGGACTTCTATGCCACGGCGGCATGCCCGCCCAACTCCAAGTGCTCCCTCAAGAACAGCTCCTATGCCGTCTGCACGTGTGACGCTGGCACCACCATGGTCGACAATGGCTACTTCGTTGGTGAGTCGTCGTCATGTCGTGGAGTGGAGTGGAGTGGGGTGGGCCGTGGACCATGGGAGGTGGTTCATGTAGAGTCCCTGCTGCACTGATGATTTGCTGCAGCCTTTACCTCCACTAAGTCATCCTGCCCGCATCTCTCTGCCTCTCGCTCCCTCTCTCCCCCTCTCGCTCCGTCTCTCTCCCTCTGTCTCGCGCTCCCTCCCTCTTTTCCCTCTCCCTCTCTCCCACTTGCTCCCCCTCTCTCTCTCACTTGATCCCCCTCTCTCCCACTGGCTCCCTCTCTCTCTCGCACTGACTCCTCCTCTCTCTTCCTCTCTCTCCCACTCGCTCCCCCTCTCTCTTCCTCTCTCCCCATCTCTCTCCCTCTCTCTCCCATTCTCTATCCAACGTCACATGCACGAGATGTCTGGTTTGCTCTCATTGGTCCGTTTCTGCATAAAATGGCTTCATGCATGCACACCAATCTGCTATTTCTTTCTTGTGTTGCAGATTCGTGCTCCGTCAAGTAGTGTGGCCAGAATGGCCGTTGCGTCTTTCTGTCTAATGGCGAGCCGTATTGTGATTGCATGGATGGCTACGAGCAGGAGTTGGTAACGGGCTCATGCATTGGTATGTGTGCTTACCTTGGCATGTCTCTCTATCTCACTCTTCCCTTTCCACTTTTTCCATCTCCTCCTTCCTCCCCATTCCTCTCCACCTTCCCTTTCCCGCTCTTGCCTCCTTGTTCTCCCATGTAAATTACTCCTGTTATTACCTATCCCCTTTGAGCATTGTTGTCTTTCCTTCCCTCTGCACAAAGTCACCAATCTCACGTTCTTTGTTGTTTCCTCAACCCCCATGTTGCCTACACGAGAAGGGCAGTGCAAGGACTGCCTTCTTGGTACCGTTGGCATCTATAATATGTCATACCCTTACTGCGCACCTGGCTACACCCAGCACTCTGGTGCTTGCCTGCCAGGTGGGTACTGTACCTCTCGCAGCCTGTGCATGCCCCATGCGATCAGCAGGTAGTACCACCACTTACGATGCAGTTGCTGCTTCCCCATCATTTCAAAGAATCATCTAGTGCCAGAAACCTCCTTGCTGTCTTCTTTCCTTCTCTGCCTGATCGATTCTCCTCTCCACCACTCCCCTGCATCCATTCACCTGACTTGATTTGCAGGAGTCGTTCCCGACGTGGCTGACGTGGCCATCAGCATCTACAGCGCACTGAACCTGGGTGGCAAGAATCCTCCCTACGTCTTCCGTCTCAAGCCGAACAAGAGTGTCAACATTCCGATTGGCGTGCTTACGAGCAGCAAGTCGGTGGGCATGCTATTCCGTGCGCCGAGGTCGAACCTGAGGTGCACATCCGTTATCATCTACGACACGGTCAACTGCAGTGGCAACCAAATCAGCTCCGATGTGCCCCCTGGCAATGACGTTACTGCCGTGCCCATTCTGTGAGTCTCTCTCTCTCTCTCTCTCTCTCTCTCTCTCTCTCTCTATCTCTCTCTCTCTCTCTCTCCCTCTCTCTCCCCCCCTCTCTCTCCCCCCCTCTCTCTCCCCCCCTCTCTCTACCCTCTCGCTCTCCCCTCTCTCTCTCCCCCTCTCTCCTCCTCTGCTAGCCTGCCCTCCAACTTGTCTCTAACCTCAACGCCCACTATTTTAGCCATTATTCCGAATCGTATGCATGAACTTTTGATTAAATGCCATCTTTGAATCTTCATGTTACTCTCTTCAGGAACAATGGACTCTGGAAGCCCTACTCTGTTCAGTGCCATTTGTGGGCTGAAGAATGAGGCTCGGCCTGGGAAGTTGTCAAGCTTTAAGATCTCAAGTCAAAGTAGAAGGCTGCATGGATCAGATGGTCCCGACTCAAATTGTAGTTGAACCCTTCTGGGCAACAAGTAGTTCTTTGCTAGGATTTTTCTGCTTCCCCTTCCCTCCCTGTTCCCCTTCCCTTCTCACTCTCCCCTTTTTCCCTTCTCTTACCACTCTTCGTCCCATCTGTCCTTACTCTCCCTTTCCTGTTGACTTGGAGTACCTAGTAGTATCGTTTCTTTCCATTATAAAGAGCTACCAGTAGTATGGTTTTGATTAACTATTTGTGAAAGGAATGAACAGGAATGAATCAACTATGAATGAAAGCAGTACAAATATGAAACCCTAACTGGGTTGTACCCCCTATGGGATACCCCACTACAGCCTACACAGCAGTATAAGCTATAGATATGTTCTGACACACCCCCATAGGCAAAGTGGGGGAGAACAAGGGGTCACAAGACCAGTCAAGCAAGACAAATCAAAGCTCAGGGTGGATCACAAAGTCACCACACAGTCCGAGCACAAGAGCAAGGCCAAAGGCCAGTTCACAAGCAAGAGTACAGACATATATATAAAACTAGACAAGCAAGAGCAGGTATATATATATGTCACAGTACAAGTAAAGTCAAGAGGAGAGCAAGTGAGGCAAGACAGGCACAAGACCCAGCTGGGTGCAGAAGCGCTGATGGTCACAAGGCGCAAGTGCCTTGGTGAACACATCAGCAGTGTTGGCCTCAGAGGCCACGTACGCAAGTCGCAACTGACCACGCTGCTGCAACTCACGAGCAAGGAAGTAGCGGAGAGCAATGTGCTTCGTTCTGTGCTCCAAGCGCTGCTCTCGACACAAGGCCAGCATAGCCTTGTTGTCTACGTACAGCACTGGAGGAGAACGAGGCGGCTCTCCAAGGTCAGTCAGCAGGTAGGTGAGCCAGCGAAGCTCCTGTGCAGCCATGGCTCCGGCGTAGATCTCAGCCTCACAACTGGAGCCGAGAACCGAAGACGAGCGAGTAGACCGCCACGAGACAGAGCCGGAACCAAGGCTGAAGGTGTAACCCTGTGACGACCGCTGCGTAGCCTGGTCGTCAGCCCAAGAAGCGTCCGCGTGGCCGGTAAGGACTACTGGACTCCGCCCTCCAAGCACTAGCCCCATGCCTGACGTACTGCACAGGTAGCGCAATACCCTCTTCGCTGCAGCCATGTGCTCCGGTCTGTGTCTCCCAGGAGCAACATAGCGTGCAAGAATGCTCAGAGGGTATGCAAGGTCAGGTCGTGTGCAGGTCATCAGGTACATGAGGCAGCCAACAAGCTCTGCATACGGACCACTCGACTCTACGGACTCATCCGAAGGCAGAGCTGAGAGTGAGTGGCGAGTAGGCAGAGGAGTGGCCTGAGGCGAGGAGTACGTGAAGCCGAAGCGCTGAAGGACCTGCTGCACCATGTGTGACTGAGTCAGGGTAATGGTGCGGCGTGCTCTGTCCCGAGTGATCTGCAAGCCAAGGTAGCTGCGCAGTTCACCCAGGTCTGTGCACGTGTGTCTCTTCAGCAGCTCGGACTTCACGTAGGCGAGTCCAGCAGTGTCCGCTGTGGCAAAGACCAAGTCGTCGACGTACACGAGGATGTAGAACGGCGGCAGGGAAGTGTCGGTGCGAAGAAACAGCGACGGGTCAGCAGTAGAAGGAGCAAACCCAAGAGCCGCAAGCGTAGTCCTCAGTGTGTCGTGCCACTCACGCGGTGCCTGGCGGAGACCGTAGACTGGCCGTCGGAGGCTCCACTGGGTGCCAGGAGGGAAAGTCCCAGTGAAGCCAGGCGGACGGCGCAGCCAGATCTCCTCGTGCAGGCTACCCTGCAGGAACGCAGTGCTGAAGTCGAGAGAGTGAAGCTCGTAGTCGCGCTGAGCGGCAATGTGCAGCAGCACCCGAAGAGTGGTCATCTTCGGGGTGGGAGAGAAGGTCTGAAAGTAGTCAACTCCCTGCCGCTGACTGAAGCCACGAGCCACGTAACGCGCCTTGAAGACAGGCGGCGAGCCCGGCGGCCGCTTCACCCTGAAGATCCACATGCCACTGACGATGTTCGCCCCAGGAGGGGGAACCGCGTCAACGTAGGTGCCTGTGGACTTCCAGGAAGCCATCTCTGCATCCATAGCTGCCTGCCACTGAGAGGAGTAGGGACCCTCTACGGCCTCCGCGTAAGAACGCGGAGTCGGGATGTCTAGTGCATCCGGGTCTCCCTCAGGGGCTAGCAGTACAGACGCGAGACGAGGTGAAGCAGCGGCTAGACACTGGAACTCCTCCTGCCTGTCCTCTAGGACGTCCGTGCCAAGGGCACACTCACCCCCGACGGACGGAGGACAGGCGGACTCTGACTCAGCGACAAGACGAGCAGCGTAGTCTAGACGACAGCGCGCAGCAAAGTCGACAAGCTCAGTGACAAGGGCAGACGCAGCAGACGACTCGAAGGAAGGGTCAGTGACAGCAGTAGCAAGGAGACGCGTGACAGTAGGACTGGCAGCACGAAGAGAGTCCGACTCCGGGTCGGCAAGAGCAGGAAGAGAGGAAGCAGGAGGAGAAGGCAAAGGGGCACGCAGAGGAGCAGTGGACGGACGCAGTGACATCCGGTGCGTGCCAGGGACAGGAGGAGGACGCTGACGCGACCCGCGACCACTAGCGCGCTCAGTACGAACAGGCGACGCAGGACGAGACGCAGGCTCACGACGCTCAGTAAGGCCTCCAGTCGGACCAGCGTAGGGAGAAGGAGCAGGCAAAGGGGAGGCAGGCTCTAGCTGTGGCTGTGACCGGACAGGCTGCGGACCCTCTAAGGGAGGAGGAGGAGGAGCAAGACCAAGAACCTGCTCCAGGAGCGGAACGAAGTACGGTCGAGACCGCGCGGCGACGCCAGAAACAGCAGGAACAGAACCAGCAGCTCCGGCCGGAGCACCCACTCCAGCAGCACCTCCAGCAGAACCACCAGAAGCTCCAGAACCTCCAGCAGCAGCACCAGGAGCACCGTCAGTCGGACCACCAACCGCAGGCTCAGCGCCAACGTCCTCAGCAGGACCAGCTCCAGGAGAACCCTCAGACCCAGCAGCTCCAGCACCCACAGGACGAGCACCGCCAGGTCGCGTGGCAGCAGCGCCCTCCGCAGCCGAAGAACCACCAGCACCAGCGGCACGCCTCCAGCGCCGGGCAAACCACTCACGCAGCTCCTGTGGAGAGAGCGGCTCCCGGCGAGACGAAGCACCCCCAGGCACAGCACCTCCAGGCTCGGCACCTCCAGGCTCAGCACCCCCAGGCTCAGCACCCCCAGGCTCAGTACCCCCAGACACAGCACCCCCAGGCTCAGCACCCCCAGGCCCAGCACCCCCAGGCTCAGCACCCCTAGACTCCGCACCCCCAGGCTCAGCTCCCGCAGCAGCACCAGAGTCACCAGTGACCTCGACAGGCTCGACCGCGTCTACCTGAGACACACCTGAAGGGGCAGGACCCTGAGGGGGGAGGGGGACTACTGGGGGGGGACCTGGTACCAAGAAGAGCGGGGGTGGGGGGAGGGACGGAGTGCGGTAGGGGAAGAGGCGGTAGTAGGGTACCGACTCGTCGAACGTGACGTCCTGGGAGGACAGAACACGTCGAGAGGTGGGGTGGTAAAACTGCCACCCAGGGGCGTCGGGGGGGAACCCGAGGAAGACGCAGGGAGAAGCACGAGGGGACAGCTTGTCCGCAGACAGGTCGCGAACAAACGCCCGAGATCCCCAGACCCGGAACGCCGACGCATCGCCAACCTTCCCCGTCCACAACAGAGCTGGGGAGGTCTCCGGTCGAGAGACCCTGGGGTGGAGGTTGATCTGGTGCGCAGCGTACCTGACCGCAAACGGCCACAGAAAATGGGGAGCAGCCGCATGCATCATGGACGTACGAGCGACGTCCATGACCAAGCCAATGCGGCGCTCAGCGATCCCATTCTGCTGTGGTGAGTCCGGAAGCGTGAAGGTCTGACGGATGCCTCGCACACGACAGTAGGCACTCAGGAGGGCAGAGGAGAACTCTCCGCCTCTGTCCGAGTGCAGACGCAAGACAGGGAAGTCAGAGCCAAAGCTTCTCCGAAGCTGAAGACGAGCTGCGCGGATCCAGTCGATCAACACCTGAGTGACCTCACCCTTGCTGCGCAAGGGGAAGACTGTGGTGTAACGCGAGTAGTCGTCAACCACCAGCAGGAAGTAGCGCTCCTGACCCTGTCCACGGACGCGGGCTGGGCCCCACACGTCCATGTGAAGCGTCTGCAACGGGGCCTCTGTCGGAGGAAACTGGGAGGAGTGAGGGGCAGCACGCTGGCGCCCCTCGACACAGGGGACACAGGCAGGGCCAGGGCCCTGAGGAAGGGGAGGGAGGGACCGGGGGAGTCCAGACACAAGAAGACGGGAGGCCATGCCTCTGAGCCGAAGCAGAGAGGGGTGGCCAAGGCGGTGGTGCCAGAGGAGGGTCTCGTGAGACAGACGACGACACGAACAAGGGGCAGACTCAGGACCAGACCTGGACGCTGCAGCAAACACCGGACCAGACGAAGGGGCCCTACCAGACGCAGTACCTGGAGGAGAAGCAGTGGTCAGTGTGTACAGGCTCGACCCCGGCCGACGTGTAAACGTAGCC